CAGAAGGCTGAGGCAAGAGAATCAGCTGAACCCAGGAGGCAGAGGCTGCAGTGAGCTACTGCACTCCAGCCTGAACAACAGATTGAGAATCTGCCTTAAAAAGAAAAAAAGTAAAAATGAATTTAGTAATCCCTGCTCTGAAGCCTCATCCAAACAGAACTCTAAAGAGAAAGATTCAAGCAATTTACATGGTGCTATTTATATACAGACCTCCCTTGCACGTCCAAATGTAACACTGAAATATTCTGCAACATGATTGTTGGGAATGGCTCAAACCTGGGCATGGTAGCACATGGCTGTAGCCCTAGCTACTAAGGAGACTGGGACAGGAGGATAACTTGAGCCCAAGAGTTCTAGTCCAGCCCAGAAAACATAACATGACCATATTTCTTTAAAAAGAAAAGTCAGGGAGCTGACTGATAAATTATTTTGGTGGTATCAACAACTGCTATCAAAACACTACTACAAAATCCAAAATTGTATCTATTGCCAGACCTTTCTCCTTGCTTCCAAACTCATTTACCAAACTGCCTCCTCCACCTTCACAACTAAACTTGAATGTCAAGTTGAAATTAATTAATTAATTAATTACTTTGTTCTTAGATTGGCTTTCCTCTAACATCTAAAGACTTGTCTTAAATTCTTACTTCATGTTATTAGTATCAAATCTGAAGGGCTCCAAGTATAGGAGCTCTTTGACATAAGAAACACACGTGTTTTTGAGAAACCACATAAAGTGAAGTAATCATAGCTGTAAAAAGAAATATGCCCATAAATAAACAACAGTAAAGGATTAGAGGCTTTCAGTTGTACTAGAGACTGATGTTAAATAGAATTATTCTGTTAATTCAGCAAGAAAATATATAAACCTAACTCTGACAAACTTTCTATAAAATAAAAATGAACCATGTGTTGGGGTTGAGAGTAAAAACTGGAAGTTTTAGAAACAGGTGAGGCCAGCTGCAGAATGTGCTCATCACACATCATCAAGGCTGTCCCAATCACACCCTCTGCCTCATTATCCCCCCATTCCACTTATTTCCCGACCATAACCCCTTCTTACATAATAAATATCTCCTACTTACTACACATGTTTCCCTACCAGATTAAATGCTCCAGAATGATGGGGCAGGGCACTGTCTTCCACACTGCCCAGTTTCCAACATCTGACTCACAGGTGCCAAATGACTTCAGGATTATGAGGTTGGAAGTAGTGAGTATTTCCTCAATACTTACAGTGGTTCATAGCAATCAAAATCCTAAGATTTCCTCTCTTCCTTTTGAGGACCATAAAGAAAGCAGCAATACTGTCAGAGGCATTTGAACCAGAGCAACTCCATCTAAAATAGGAGCTCGGTAAAATGAGGCTGAGACCTACCGAGCTGCATTCTCAGATAGTTAAGGCATTCTAAGTCACAGTGTGAGGAAGGAAGTCGGCACAAGATATAGTTCATAAAGACCTTGCTGATAAAATGGGTTTCAGTAAAGAAGCCAGCCAAAACCCACCAAAACCAAGGTGGTGACGAGAGTGACCTCTGGTCATCCTCACTGCTACTACAGTCCCACCAACACCATGACAGTTTAAAAATGCCATGGCAATGTCTCAAAAGGGGAAGCATAAAAATAATGCATTCCTGGCATGGCACAGTGGCTCACACCTGTAATCCCAGCCCTCTGGGAGGCCAAGGTGTTTGGATCACCTTAGGTCAGGGGTTTCAGAGCAGCCTGACCAACATGGTAGAACCCCCATCTCTACGAAAAATTAAAAAAAAAATTATCTGGGTGTGGTGGTGCACACCTGTTATCCCAGCTACTTGGGAGGCTGAGGCAGGAGAATCGCTTGAACCCAGGAGGCAGAGGTTGTGGTGAGCTGAGTCTGTGCCACTGCACTCCAGCCTGGGTGATGGAGCAAGACTCCA